TTTTTTTTTGTGAGTTGTTAAATTAGATTGATGATATTTTAAATAAAAAAGAACTCACAAAAATATTTTTGTGATTTTGTTAAATCACAATTATTCTCTTTTATATGAAAAACAACTCACAATATATGTTTAATCATCTCAAATTAATGGAGTAAATATATTTTGTGATTTGTTAAATCACAATGATTCTCTTTTACATGAAAAACAACTAACAAAAATCTTTTTAATTATTTCAAATTAATGGAAGATAATATCATTGGAAACTTCTCGTAGGAGTCCATATTTCAAACGTACTATTATGGTTTTTTCATGCTTGATTATACCAATTATGTTTTCTGAGTCATAGAAAATTGGGACAATTACAAAAATGCCACTTTTGTGTGCACATTTGCAAGATATCACTTAGGGGTGTCCATTTATAAAAATGCCACTAATTATAGATTTATAAAACCTATATCTTAAAATTCTAAACCTTAAAAAACGTTTTGACACCTAAAACCCCATAAACACTCAAAATTAAATTTTAATAGAACATAATTAACCCAAACATAAATAATATAAAGAAAAAATAATTTTGAAAAAGTGGTATTTTTGTAAAAATTTTAAAAATGTGGTATTTTTGTAAAGTGACACTTGAAAAATGGCATTTTTTAAAATTTCTCTAAAAAAAAATTGATAATAGTTTCACTATTCGGCATTTATCATATTTTGCCCTACACTAATCTCCATCCGGAGTTAGTACTCAGTTATGTATGAATCATGAACTATAGATAATGAGATTTATACTTTTCATTTGTAATAAGAAACAAAATCGCATATTGATTTATATATACTTTCACATGCATAAACCATTTTGATTTCTGATATGATATATGTTCTTAGTTTAGTAAATTTTATCTACTATTGCCCGATGTAACTTTCTTACTAATTTCTCTTATCAATTTTTCAAAAATCACATATCGATTTCAATTTTTTTTTTGTAACTCACGATCACATGATCAACCTTCTAGAATCTTAGTCCGAGCCTCCTAGGCGATGTTCGTGGAAACATGTAAGAATTAAATATGATAGCTAGGGATATGCTTACATTTCCGATTTCATATTTGACTTTTGGGTAATTAAAGTTTTGTTGACTTTTGGTTTACTAACTTCTAACTGTATTTTCCCCTCCTACCGCCACGATCAAAGGACGGGAAGAATCATATATTATTCAATTCAACAAAACTTTAAAGTGCATATTCCACTCTGAATTGATTGGCACCACTTTTATATATTTATAAATTTACTAATATCTGTCTCTTACAATGGTTCAGTAATGGAACATTAGTTGAATGAAACAGTATAACAAAATATGGAGAAGAGAGTGGTTGGTTGAGACTGTAGATATAAATTATTGCTTTAAAACATTAGTTGTAAAATCATGGGTCTATAAAGTAGATTGTAATATTTTCTTAAATAAAGTTATTGATTTTTTTTTTTGTCATATGATTAAATTGAAACATAGAACAGATATACAAACAACGAAACGGTAAACCCGTAACATTGGACCGAAACAAGAGAGAGTAAAAACATAAACAAAGGATACGCTATACCGATAGACAAGAAAGTCAAGATCCTAAACTAACTGTCGAACCATAGAACCGCTACGAACCAACCAACTTCTTACAACATTTTCTAAGTCATCGATTACTGCAACTATTAGTATTCACCCGACATTTTTTACAATTTTTAAAATCAGAATATATGTTTTCATGTGTTATCAATTATTTAAGTCATGGAAATTCAATTTCTCTGCAAATCTCGTTATGAAACATACAATTTTTACGTTACGTGAAATATACCAATCTTACATCACAAACACGTATCCACTCTTTCACAACACAGCCTTCATTTATGTCATTTATAGACTATGGGTATATCTTGCGAGTTGTGACCAAGAAAAAAAGATAGACTCACAAACTAATTTGGGCCATGCAGTCATCATGGGCCCGATCGGTTCACTAGAATTACTCTCGCTCCCCAGGATATATATCGGGAGAATGACCAATTCCTCCAGGAACTCACTAGTTGCTGATTATTTATACACAAACTTTGAACTCATGCCAAAAACTACATGAACTAAGTATTTTTTTGAATTAACCACATAAAGTATTAAAATGTGGTGAATTCCTACAAATCCGTTAACGGATTCAATTTTCCGTCAATGGTTGATGACATGGATTATAGGTGGCAAACAT